GGTAGGGCCGCAGGTAGGGCGGCGGGCGGGCCGCAGGTAGGGCGGCGGGCGGGCCGCAGGTAGGGCGGCGGTAGGGCCGCGGGTAGAGCGGCGGGCGGGCCGCAGGTAGGGCGGCGGTAGGGTCGCAGGCAGAGCGGCTGAAAGGCCGCAGGTAGGGCGGCGGTAGGGCCGCAGGTAGGGCGGCAGTAGGGCCGCAGGTAGGGCGGCGAGTAGGGCCGCAGGGCGGCGGGGCCGCGCGATGGAGCGGCGGGGCCGCGAGTAAGGGCGGCGGGGCCGCTCGATGTGGCGGCGGGGCCGCGAGGAAGGGCGGCCGGGCCACTAGGTAGGACGGCGGGGCCGCGCGATGGGGCGGCGGGGCCGCTAGGGCGGCTCGACGCGACCGTAAGGGCGGCGCGGCGGGGCCGCTAGGGCGGCGTAAGGGAGAGCGCGACTCGAGGCGCGACTTGTGGGCCCTAGGAACAGTCCCTAAGAGGGGACCTGCTCTGATTCCATGTGATAATGTGTACCCCATATGGGCTACCCCACTATAGCCTACACAATATTATAATTTGACACCGCACCCCCAGGCTCAGCACCCCCAGACCCGGCACCCGCAGGCTCAGCACCCCTAGCAGCACCAGAGTCAACAGCTACCTCGACAGGCTCGACTGCGTCTACCTGGGACACACCTGACGGGGCAGGACCCTGAGGGGGGAGAGGGTCTACCAGGGGAGGACCTGGTGCAAGGAAGAGCGGCGGCGGGGGGAGGGGCGCAGTGCGGTAGGGGAAGAGACGGTAGTAAGGCACCGACTCGTCAAAGGTGACGTCCTGGGAGGACAGAACACGGCGCGAGGTGGGGTGGTAAAACTGCCAACCAGGCGCGTTAGGGGGGAAGCCAAGGAAGACGCAGGGAACAGCACGGGGGGACAGCTTGTCAGCAGACAAGTCACGGACAAACGCCCGAGATCCCCAGACCCGAAACGTAGACGCATCGCCAACCTTCCCCGTCCACCGCAAGGTGGGGGAGGTCTCTGGCAAGGAGACCCGGGGCTGAAGGTTGAGCTGATGCGCTGCGTACTGAACCGCAAACGGCCACAGAAAATGGGGAGCAGCCGCATGGATCATGGACGTATGAGCGACGTCCATGACCATGCCAATGCGGCGCTCAGCAATCCCATGATGCTATGGAGAGGTCGGAAGCGTGAAGGTCTGGCGCATGCCCTATGCACGACAGAAGGCTCCTAGACGGGCAGAGGAAAACTCCCCGCCTCTATCAGAGTGCAGATGCAAAACAGGAAAGTCCGAGCCGAAACTCTCTCTGAGCTGGAGACGAGTTGCGCGGATCCAGTCGATCAACACCTCAGTGACGTCACCCTTGCTGCGTAAGGGGAACACCATGGTGTAACGCGAGTAGTCGTCAACCACCAACAGGAAGTAACGCTCGTGACCCTGGCCACGGACGCCGGCGGGGCCCCACACGTCCATGTGAAGAGTCTGCAGGGGAGCCTCTGTCGGAGGAAACTCGGAGGAGTGAGGGGCGGCGCGCTGTGTCAGAACATATAGCTTATGCTTATTGTGTAGGCTATAGTGGGGTGCTGCGACTGGGGGTGCTGAGCCTGGGGGTGCTGAGCCTGGGGGTGCTGAGCCTGGGGGTGCTTCGTCCGAGGGTGCTGAGCCTGGGGGTGCTGAGCCTGGGGGTGCTGAGCCTAGGGGTGCTGAGCTTGGAGGTGCTCCGCCTGGGTGTTCTCCGGGTGCTTCGTCTCTGCGGGAGCCACTCTCTCCACAGGAGCTGCGCGAGTGGTTTGCCCGGCGCTGGAGGCGTGCTGCTGGTGCCGGAGGTTCTTCGGCTATTGAGGGTGCTGCTGTCGCGGGTCCCGGAGGTGCTCGTACTGAGGGTACTGGAGCAGCTCGGCCAGCGAGGTCGACTGGAGCTGGTGCTGCTGAGGGTGGTGGAGCTGAGACTACTGCTGGCGGTCCTGCTGCGGGTACTCCTGGTACTGCTGGAGGTTCTGGCGCTACTGGAGGTGCAGCTGGAGCGGGTGCTCCTGCTGGGGGTACTGGTGCTGTACCTGCTGTGTCTGGCGTCGCCGCGCGGCCTCGACCGTACTTCGTTCCACTCCTGCAGCAGGTTCTTGGTCTCCCGCCTTCTACTGGTCCTCCTCCTTCTTTAGAGTGTCCACAGCCAGTCCCGTCACAGTTACAGTTGCACCCTACCTCCCCGTTGCCTGCTCCTTCTCCCTACACTGGTCCTACTGGAGGTCTTACTGAGCGTTGTGAGCCTGCGTCTCGCCCTGCGTCGCCTGTCCGTGCTGCTCGCGCTAGTGGTCGTGGTTCACGTCAGCGTCTTCCTATTGTCCCTGGCACGCACAGGATGTCTCTGCGTCCGTCCACTGCTCCTCTGCGTGCCCCTTTGCCTTGTCCTCCTGAGTCTTCTCTTCCTGCTTTTGCCGACTCGGAGTCGGACTCTCTTCGTGCTGCCAGTCCTACTGTCACGCGTCTCCTTGCTACTATCATCACTGACCCTTCCTTCGAGTCTACTGCTGCGTCTGCCTTAGTTGCTGAGCTCGTCGACTTTGCTGCTCGCGGTCACCTAGACTACGCTGCTAGTCTTGTCACTGAGTCTGAGTGTGTCTGTCCTCCGTCCGTCGGGGGTGAGTGTGCCCTTGGCACTGACGTCCTTGAGGACAGGCAGGAGGAGTTCCAATGCTTGGCAGCTGCTTAACCTCATCTCGTGTCCGTACTGCTTACCCCTGAGGGAGACCCGGATGCACTTGACATCCCGACTCCGCGCTCTTACGCGGAGGCGATAGAGGGTCCCTACTCCTCTTAGTGGCAGGCAACTATGGATGCAGAGATGGCTTCCTCGAAGTCCACAGGCACGTACGTTGACGCTGTTCCCCCTCCTGGGGCGAACATCGTCAGTGGTATGTGGATCTTCAGGGTGAAGCAGCCGCCGGGTTCTCCACCTGTCTTCAAGGCGCGTTACGTGGGTCGTGGCTTCAGTCAGCGGCAGGGAGTTGACTACTTTCAGACCTTCTCTCCCACCCCGAAGATGACCACTCTTCGGGTACTACTGCACGTTGCTGCTCACCGTGACTACGAGCTGACTTCAGCACAGCTTTCTTGCAGGAGAGCCTGCACGAGGAGATCTGGCTGCGCCGCCCACCTGGCTTCACTAGGTCGTTTCCCCATGGTACCCAATGGAGCCTCCGGCGGCCAGTCTACGGTCTCCACCAGGCACCCCGTGAGTGGCACGACACACTGAGGACTACATTTGCGGCTCTTGGGTTTGCTCCTTCTACAGCCGACTCTTCGCTGTTTCTGCGCACCGACACCTCTTTGCCGCCCTTCTACATCCTCGTGTACGTCGACGACTTGGTCTTTGCCACAGCTGACACTGCTGGACTCGCCTACGTGAAGTCCGAGCTGCAGAAGAGACACACGTGCACAGACCTGGGTGAACTGCGCAGCTACCTTGGCTTGCAGATCACCCGGGACAGAGCACAGCGCACCATTACACTGACTCAGTCACACATGGTGCAGCAGGTCCTTCAGCGCTTCGGCTTCACGTACTCCTCGCCTCAGGCCACTCCTCTGCCTACTCGCCACTCGCTCTCAGCTCTGCCTTCGGATGAGTCCGTAGAGTCGAGTGGCCCGTATCCAGAGCTTGTTGGCTGCCTCATGTACCTGATGACCTGCACACGACCTGACCTTGCATACCCTCTTAGCATTCTCGCACCCTATGTTGCTCCTGGTAGACACCGACCAGAGCACATGGCTGCAGCGAAGAGGGTGTTGCGCTACTTGTGCAGTACGTCGGGCATGGGGCTAGTGCTTGGAGGGCGGAGTCCAGTGGTCCTCACTAGGCACGCGGACGCTTCTTGGGCTGACGACCAGGCTACGCAGCGGTCGTCACAGGGTTACACCTTCAGCCTTGGTTCCGGCTCTGTTTCGTGGCGGGCTACTCGCTCGTCTTCTGTTCTCGGCTCCAGTTGTGAGGCTGAGATCTACGCCGGGGCCATGGCTGCACAGGAGCTTCGCTGGCTCACCTACCTGCTGACTGACCTTGGAGAGTCGCCTTGTTCTCCTCCAGTCCTGTACGTAGACAACAAGGCCATGCTGGCCTTGTGTCGAGAGCAGAGACTGGAGCGCAGAACAAAGCACATTGCTCTTCGCTACTTTCTTGCTCGTGAGCTACAGCAGCGTGGTCAGTTGTGACTTGCGTACGTGGCCTCTGAGGCCAACACTGCTGATGTCTTCACCAAGGCACTTGCGCCTTGTGATCATCAGCGCTTCTGCACGCAGCTGGGTCTTGTGCCTGTCTTGCCTCACTTGCTCACCTCTTGACCTTGCTTGTACTGTTGCTTATATATACACCTGCTCTTGCTTGTCTAGTCCTTTATATATATGTACTCCTGCATGTGAACTGGCCTTGTGGCCTTGAACTTGTGCTCGGAATGTGTGGTGACTTTGTGATCCACCTTGAGCTTGCTTTGCTTTGCTTTGCTTGACTGGTCTTGTGACCCCTTGTTCTCCCCCTATGGGGGTGTGTCAGAAACTATAGCTTATGCTTATTGTGTAGGCTATAGTGGGGTAGCCCATAAGGGGTACAACCCAATTAGGGTTAGTACTTGTACTCAGTTCATTCATAGTTCATCCATTCTCGTTCTAAGTTTCTCACGCTGCCGCCCCTCGACGCAGGGAACGCAGGTAGGGGCAGGCCCCGGAGGGAGGGGAGGGAGGGACCGGGGGAGACCAGAGACAAGGACACGGGAGGCCATGCCTCGGAGACGAGGCAGGGAGGGGTGACGAAGGCAGTGGTGCCAGAGGAGAGTTTGGTGGGACAGGAGACGACACGAGCAGGGAGCAGACTCAGGTCCAAACCTGGACGCTGCAGCAAACACCTGACTCGACGCAGCTACCTGACCAGACTCAGCAACCGGAGGAGACTCAGTAGTCAGTGTGTACAGGCTCGACCCCGGCCAACAGGTAAACGTGGCCAAGTGTCGGCCCGTCTGAGCTCACGTACAGTGGGTCACCCGCTGACTCGCTGGAGTGAACTGGTCAACCCCCCCATCCTGTAGATCAGCACCACTCACCAAGTTCGTAGAGAACGAGGGGAGGTAGAGACCAGACAGGGTGCCAGAGGGGGCTGCCAGACACGGTAAGACAGTGGAGAAGCGAGCAAGGACAGGACCCCTAGAGGGGTCCGCCAGGGAGACCGCAACCGGCCGACTTTAGCGGCGTAAGCGTGGTGCGTTCTTGAAAGAAGGAGCGGGAAGCACCCGAGTCAAGGGTGAAGGTGTGTAAGGCCTGAGCCGACGTGGTACCTGAGAGAGCAGACTCACCAGCACATGGGGCAGCAGACGCACTAGCACCTAGAGCAGCAGCCTCACCAGCACCTAGAGCAGCAACCTCAATGCCCGGGTCAGGCGGAACACACAGGTAACAGTCACCCTCATCACTAGTAGACACAGTATACATGGCAGCAAGAATTGCATCATAGTCAAGATCAAAGGTAGTAACCCCCACCCTATACAGCTCTCCCCAATGAGGGATCTCAGTGGCGTCAGGGAACTGGTGACGCCAAGCGTCCGTCAGGCGGCCGAAGCGGCGCTGGGTGGAGTGCGAGCCCCCGCACTGCTCACTAGCGCGGTCGCCGGTACGCAGGACGTAGGTACACGGACCAGTACCCCCACCTCGCTAACGCCCAGCGTACCACTCATGAAGCTGCTAGGGGGACGGGGTCTCACGAGTGCGCTGCTGCTGCTGGCGCTGACCACCACCTAAGCCGCCCCGCTGCCCAGAGCCACCCCGACTAGCTCCACCTCCTCCGCCGCCACCTCCGCCACCGCCGCCACCGCCTCCTCCTCCGCTCCCACCGCCACCGCCGCCGCCGCTTCCGCCGCCACCGCCGCCACCGAAGCCCCCACCCCCGCCACCACTTTGACCACCACCCCCACTCCCTCCGCCTCCTCCATCGCCACCTCCACCGCCCCCACCAGCTCCTCCAGCGCCCTTGCCCCCCTTGCCATTGCCGGTGCGGCGTCGCCCGCTAGGGGCAGACGCAGCGCCGACCGACTCGGTGCCAACGAAGTCGACGGCAGCAGCAGAGGCAACAGAGGGCAAAAGGGGGGAGGGGGAGCACCCCTCAAAGACAGGGGCACGCGGGTCACCTCTAGAGGCTCCTACAGCGACTATACTCTTCTCAGCTGCCAGGAGGCGCTCCTCGAGGAGGTCAACGGTGAGTGTGGTGGGGCAAACAGAGAGGAATTGGTCCCTGACCGAGCGAAGGGAGTCAGGGAGCCGGGTGACTATGTAGTAGAGGGTGATGTACATGGGGGGGGGGGGGGGAGTTCTTGGCGCAGAACTTAGCAGGAAGCGCAGCGCGGTAGCGGGTGTCACTAGTGCGAAGGTGCGTAACGAGGTCAGCGATAGTGGGAAAGGCGGCGAGGTTAGGAAACAGGTACGGCAGTATGAGGCGGCTAAGAGCAGCAGTGGCAGGGGAAGAGTAGCGTGCAACTACAGCGTCGTACAAGGTCTTAGCACTCTTGTACTGACTAAAGTGCGCACGCTCAGCGGTCGGTAAGTGGCGACGCACGGTAAGACGGGCAGCAGCATCGCGCGTGGCCCACTGTGAGCGAACAGTGCTGTCAGCATCAGCAGGCGGGGCAAGAGAGGCACCAGAGGTGAGATCGAACAGGGAGAGTCCGTCTGCCTTATCACACTAGAGGAAAAGCTGCAGGTCATCGACCCAGACCTCGAAGTCAATAGCACGACCCTTAGCATCAAAGGTAAGGACACTGGGGGTAGCCATGACAGCATTGGTCTAGCAGGGAGTGCTCTCACCAGTCCGGGTGGGTAGGGCCGGGGCGCGCCGGTAGAAACAGGGCTGCAACAGCGGTGGCAGCGGCTCGACAGAGGCAGTGGCGGCTCGACGGCAGCCTCGGCGGCTCGGCTGCTCGGCGGCTCGGGCTCGGCGGCTCGGTGGCTCGGCTGCAGGCGACTCGGCGGCTCGGCGGCTCAGGTGCTCGGCGGCTTGGCGGCTCAGCTGCTCGGCAGCTAGGCGGTGAAGGGGCCGGGACGGCGACGGGGCCGCAAGAGGGCGCCGACGGGGCCGCAGGAGGGCGGCGACGGGGCCGCAAGAGGGCGGCGACGAGCCCGCGAGAGGGCGGCGACGAGGCCGCAAGTGGGCGGCGACGGGGCCGCGAGAGGGCGGCGACGGGGCCGCAAGAGGGCGGCGACGGGGCCGCGAGAGGGCGGCGACGAGGCCGCAAGAGGGCGGCACTGGGGTCGCTAGAGGGCGGCGACGCGGCCGCGAGAGGGCGGGGACGAGGCCGCGAGGAGCGGCTGCAGGGCCGCGACGGGCGGCGACGCGGCCGCTAAGGGCGGCGACGGGGCCGCGAGAGGGAGGCGACTGGGCTACGATAGGGCGGGGACGGGGTCGTGGAGGTGGGGCCGCAAGGGGACGCTGAGGGCGGCGCGACGGGCCGCTAGGGGGCGGCGACGGGGTCGCGAGGGGCCGTGAGAGAGGGGGGGGGGGGGGGGGGGGGGGGGCGCTAAGGGTGGCGCGACGGGTCGCTAAGGGGAGGGCGGCACACAGGGCGCGCCTCGGTCAGGGGCGACTCGATCTCAGGGCAGGAAAAAATCGATTTTCAGTGGTGGGCCCTAGGAAGTTCCCACTAGGGAACCTGCTCTAAACCATGTGAGAATTGAGGAAATGAAATGAACTAGCAAGCAGGTGGGTACAAGTAGGAAAACCTAGAAGTGTTGTGTCAGAACTTTACAGCTTACTCATTTGTGTAGGCTATAGTGGGGTATCCCATAGGGGGTACAATCCCATTAGGGTTTCCTATTTGTACTCACTTCATTCATAGTCATTTCATTCTCGTTCACTTCTTCTCATGGTATCGAGCAGGTTCCCCTGTGGGAACTGTGCTTAGGGCCCACCACCACTACCTCGTAACCTTTTTTTTCTGCCCGGAGCGCCCTCCGGGCCCCTTTCTCTTCCTTTTTTTTTTCGATCTGCCCTAACGGCCCCTTGCGCCTGAGCGCCGCCTGCCCTAGCGCCATAGCGCCGCCCGCCCTAGCGCCCGCGCGCTGCCCGCCCTAGAGCCCTAGCGCGGCCCGCCCTAGAGCCTGACGGCCGCCCGCCCTAGAGCCTGAGCGCCGCCCGTCGCCGCCCTAGCGCCCGTGCGCCCGACGCCCGCTAGCCGCCCGACGCGCCGCCCGTGCACAGCCCGTGCGCCGCCCGTGCGTCGCCCTCAGCAGCTCGATGCGCCGCCCGTGCAGCCGCCCGTGAGCTGCCTGTGCGCCGCCCGACGACCCGCCCGAGCAACTGCCCGTGCTGCCGCCCGTGTAGCCGCCCGCGCACCCGCCCGTGCAGCCGCCCGCGCACCTGCCTGTACAGCCGCCCGCGCACCCGTCAGCGTCAGCCGCCGTTCGTGAGCCGCCCGTGCAGCTGCCCTCAGCCGCCAGTTCAGCCGCCCGTGCAGCCGCCAGTGCCGCCCGTGCAGCCGCCTATGACGCCGCCCGTGAGCCGCCCGTGAGCAGCCCGTCTCGACGCCCGCGCCGCCCGTGTCACCCGAGCCGCGAGCGCCCCCCGAGCAGAGAGCCGCCCGAGTCGCCCGTGCCGCTGCACGCCCGAGCCGCCCGAGCCACCCGAGCCGCCCGAGCCGCCCGAGCCGCCCGAGCCGCCCGAGCCGCCTACGGTACTGAGCGCCGATCCTTTGGGGCTGCTGCTACTCCTGGACCGGCGGAGTTGCTGAGCTGCCGTGTTGCTGTCCTGCTGAGCTGCTCGACCCTTCCTCTTTGGTGAGACTGTCGGCTGCTATCATGGCCACCCCTAGTGTCCTGGCCTTTGACGCTGAGGGTCGCGCCATTGACTTTGCGGTCTGGGTCGAGGACCTGCAGCTGTACTTGCAGTGCGATTCAGTTGATGACATCTCTCTCTTTGACTTTGCCTCTGGCGCTGTCCCTGCCCCTCCTGCTGATGCTGACCCCACTGTTCGCTCCAAGTGGGCCACACGCGATGCTGCTGCACGTCTTGCTGTGCGTCGCCACCTCCCTTCCTCTGAGCGTGCACACTTTAGTCAGTGCAAGACCGCTCAGGCCTTGTACGACGCTGTAGTTGCGCGCTACTCCTCCCCTTCCACTGCTACACTGAGCCGCCTCATGCTACCTTACCTCTTCCCTGACCTTGCTGCCTTTCCTACAGTCGCTGACCTCTTTACCCACCTTCGCGCTAGTGACACTTGCTACCGAGCTGCGCTTCCTGCTGCCTTCTGCGCCGAAAACCCCCCTCCCATGTACATCACCCTCTACTTTCTAGTCACCCGTCTCCCTGAGTCCCTTCGTGCTGTTAGGGACCAGTTTCTCTCTGTCTGTCCCACCACCCTCACTGTCGACCTCCTCGAGAAGTCCCTACTAGCGGCCGAGAAGAGCATAGTCGCTGTAGGGGCCTCTCGTGGTGACCCCCGCACCCCCATCTTTGAGGGGTGTTCTCCTTCCCCCCTGTTACCCTCTGTTGCCTCTGCTGTTGCGGCCGACCTCGTGGGTCTAGAGTCGGTCGGTGCGGCGTCTACCCCCAGCGGTAGGCGCCGCTCTGGCAAGGGCAAGGAAGGCAAGGGAGCGGGTGGAGCTAGCGGGGGCGGTGGCGGAGGAGGTGGGGGCGGCGGGGGGAGTGGGGGTGGCGGTGGACGTGGGGGCGGGGTTGGAGGTACTAGTGGCGGCAGTGGAGGCGGAGGTGGCGGCGGAGGTGGCGGTGGAGGTGGCGGTGGGAGCGGCGGGGGCGAGGGTGGCGGTGGCGGCGGAAACGGGGGTGGCGGTGGTGGAGATGGTCGGAGTGGCTCGTCCCAGCGGAGCAGCACTGGGGGTGGTCAGCGCCAGCAGCAGCAGTAGCAGCAGCAGCAGCGCTCTCGCGACGTCCCCGCCCCTCAGCAGCTCCGTGAGTGGTACTTGCAGCGTCAGCGTGGTGGGGCGTTCGGTCCCTGCACCTACGTCCTTCGCACCGGCGACCGCGCGGGTGAGCAGTGTGGGGGCACCCAGACCGCCCGCCGCTGCTTTGCCCGCCTGACCGACGCTTGGCGCCAGCAGTTTCCGGAGGCCTCTGAGATACCCCGCTGGGGAGAGCTGTCTAGGGCTGGTGTAGCTATTTTTGATCTTGACTTGGATGCTATCCTTGCTGCCATGTATGCTGTGACTGCTAGTGATGAGGGTGACTGTTACCGGTGTTTCCCGCCCGACCCGGGCATTGGTACTGCTGCGTCAGGTGCCAGTGAGGCTGCTGCTCTAGGTGCCAGTGCGTCTATGCTCTCAGGTACTGGTGAGTCTGCACCCTCAGGTACTGTGTCGGCTTCGGCCTCTCACACCTTCACCCTTGACTCTGGGGCGTCTCGCTCCTTCTTTCGGGACCGCACCACTCTCACGCCGCTTAGTCGGCCAGTTGCGGTGTCCATGGCTGACCCCTCTGGGGGTCCTGTCCTGTCTTGTTTCTCCACAGTCCTCCCGTGTCCGGCGGCTCCCTCTGGCACCCTGTCTGGTCTCTACCTCCCCTCGTTCTCTACGAACCTGGTGAGTGGTGCTGACCTACAGGATGCGGGTGTCCACCAGTTCACTCCTGCTCGTCAGCGGGTGACACACTGCACAGAGGCTAGCACAAGTCGCCACCTCGCTACGTTTACACGTCAGCCAGGGTCGAGCCTGTATACACTGACCACTGCTTCTCCTCCAGGTGCTGAGTCTGGTCAGGTAGCTGCGTCGGGTCAGGTGTTTTCTGCAGCGTCCAGGTCTGGTCCTGAGTCTGCCCCCTGTTCGTGTCGCCGTCTGTCTCACGAGACCCTCCTCTGGCACCACCGCCTTGGCCACCCCTCTCTGCTTCGGCTCAGAGGTATGGCCTCCCGTCTTCTTGTGTCTGGTCTCCCCCGGTCCCTCCCTCCCCTTCCTCAGGGCCCTGGCCCTGCCTGTGTCCCCTGTGTCGAGGGCGCCAGCGGGCTGCCCCTCACTCCTCCCAGTTTCCTCCGACAGAGGCTCCGTTGCAGACACTTCACATGGACGTGTGGGGCCCTGCCCGCGTCCGTGGACTCGGTCACGAGCGCTACTTCCTGTTGGTGGTTGACGACTACTCGCGTTACACCACAGTCTTCCCCTTGCGCAGCAAGGGTGATGTCACTGAGGTGCTGATCGACTGGATCCGCGCAGCTCGTCTCCAGCTCAGGCAGAGCTTTGGCTCGGACTTTCCTGTGTTACATCTGCACTCGGACAGAGGCGGAGAGTTCTCCTCTGGCCTTCTGCGTGCCTACTGTAGTGCGCGAGGCGTCCGCCAGACCTTCACGCTTCCG